AGACCTCAACCAAAAGTGAGGTCAACAATCTTATATTGATCGACTAATGTTGGTTTTGGTTAGCACTAGAGCCCTCCATGAATCTCAGTATCTAGACATATTACGCATGTAAAGCGTAGCCTAGTTAATCGTTATTTGAGTAAAAATAAAGGGAAATTCATGAAAATTTTAAAATGTGATTATAACTCTAAAATTTATTAAAAAATATATAAAATATAAATCTAAAATTATAAATGAATAGTCTTAAAATCAAAAAATAAAGGACAATTAAGAAAAATAAAATAAAATTCATATTCTACATCAAGTAAAGTTATATTAGTAAAAAATTTAAGAAAATTATACTGAGTGAAATTACTTAGTCAAAATCAGATTTGATTGAACATAGTTTTTATGGATTAGTTCCTTGGGTCACCTCTGACCTCTAAAATTTTAAATATGAAATATTAAATTTAATTAAGGGATGATTTAAAATTTAAATATTTTTTTATAAAATAATTAATTAATTGATAAATTTTAAAAATATCTAAATAATTTATGAACTTTCCATAGTGTATTGACAATAGAGAATTAATGACATGACAAAGACAAATTTAAAAGAATTGTCTATTATATGATCATGAGAATAAGAAATATGTGTTGCACAAACAATAAAGCTAAAGATTAAAAAAAATACATGTTTGGTTATAGTGTTACATTTAAAAACTAAAAAATAATAATAATTTCAATAACAAGAGCAATGGTACAAGTGATACAGACAACCCTTGGGGTTTTAGTTGTGATAAGAGTGTATCAAGCCTGAATATGATAATACTTAAGAGATTGATGAGAAGCAAAACTAAAAGCACTAATTATGATATGAAAAGCATAAAAATAGTAGTTCTTATAATAATACCCTAGAAAAATGATTGTGGTTGATTTAAAGGAATAAATAGTAGTGGTCATATATGTCAATTGGCCAATTATGTACATTTATATTGAATGCATTGCATGTCAATTACTATAAATCACAGTACCATGAACAAGTGGCATTAACAAGAGTGGTAATTCATTACTAAAAACTTTAATGAGTGAAATAAAGTCTTCAGTAAGACTTAATTGTAAATTAAATTTGTAGTTTTATGACATTAATGTCAGGACTAAGCAACATCTCATTATTAGTGAGAAGTATCACATGTATCAATGATAAGTGATTTTACATTCTCAATATATTATCATTATTTATTTTTCTAAAATATTTATTCATGCATATTTATATTTTTATTGGTATTTGTCATGAGTTTCAAGTTTGGTTTGATTTTTATTTTAATAATAAAATAATGGATATTGGGACCCATAGTTCTAAAGTAAATAAGAAAACAAGGTTTCTTTTTTTGGCTTAGTGACATGAAATCTAAATAGTTCCCTTTGAGTGGATTAATAAGTCATTTTTTCTCCCTCTTTGCTTAGTACATATTGTAAGGAATTAATGTTATACTTCTACCTCATGTTAAATGCAAAAGCATCAAACCTTTTTAGACCAAATAACTATTTAACTAATTTCTTTCCTCTCCTTCTCACTATTTTATTTCCTAACTCGCACTCTTTAAGTTATTGTCTTATCTTCAATAATTTCATCATAATCAGTAAAAAGTTAAATAATATACTAGTTTTACTAATATTATTAAGAGATTGCTTAGAAGGTATTTAAAAGCTTCTAAATGTTATAAAATCAGTCTATTCATTCATACTTAAAGAAAAATATAATCCTTCATAAGAACTCAAAAAGTTTTCAGACTATTTATATGAGCAACAAATAAAATAATTTTTATTATTTAAGAACTTGATTGAGAAAATTTTTCATGTGATATATTCTAAAGTTTACTAAAATAACAATAAATAAATAATGGCAAACTTTTTTAATAGGTAATATTTTAATACCTTAATAGATTGACTCGATAAAAAGGATGATAAAAAAGTTAAATTTATTATTGAGAAAAAAGTTTTATGATTGTGAGCATCTAATAGATAATAAATTTTTTATTAATTTATTTATGACAAAATATAAGTATAAAAATGGATCAAATGAATATTGAGCTTATATAACCACATCATTTTAAATCTTTAATGTAATTAAATTAAGAAAAATGTAAAGACATTGCCTTTAGCAGGCTTAAAACCCCATGTATGAAAATATCGACAAATCACAATACTAAAACTAGCACCAACATTAGCACCTAAATCATCATCCCCCACAGCTCAGTTGTTGAGAACAAATTTTGATCGATTAATGAATAATATTAGCTGATTTGACCCCGGGTTGGATTTGATTTGGTTTGAATTTGACTCAGGTTAAGTTGGGTTGACCCGGGTTGGGTTAGGTTTGGTTTGTGTTTGATCCGGGTTAAATTTAGTTGACCCAAGTTAGCTTAGGTTTGATGATGTGAGCTGGGTTTGGTTTTGGTTAGGTCTAGGTTAGGTTAGACTTGGGTCAAGTTTAGGGTTTGGATCC